CTTTCTTGGAAGGTCATCAGACCTGGCCAAGGATCTCGTAGTTCGACCTCGTCCGTTTTAATTCGAGACGTTAAAATGTTCTCGACAATTTTATATAGGTGAGCCCTATCCCGGAACGGAACCAATTTGAAACCAATTCAAAGCCTCGATTTCGATCATCAAAAATTCCTCCAAATTAATTGTAATTTGGATGCACGTTACTTGCGTATACACGGTATACAAGCACCTCGCCGGAACTATACACACGCGTTATCAATTTCGCGTTGAGGAAGTTGGGCGTAATTTATTCGTGGTACGTTATACGCGCACGTGTTCCCACCACGTCCGCCCGTATGCTCGATTCGTATAATCGAAAAAATTATGGCAGGAAAAGCGAAGTGGCCGTGAGGGTAACGACTTCCATCGTATTACGAAGCAAGTCCCCGGGTAAGTGCATTAGCCGAAGCGTTCACGGATTAAGTCCTGACAGCGGTCGGTTCATCCTTGCCCAAATACAATTTCCGTTTCGAGAAATAGCAACGATTTTGCGTTATCTCGATCTTCTAAGATTTCCCTTCCTTTCCTTTAAAAAAATTAATTGGCCGGCAGAAAGATAATCGGTCGTTAGAACAGATTATCGATTGTTATCCATTTGTGGACGGCCCCCTTTTTGTTCTCCGTGGTTTTCATATCACGGAATACATAACGGAAACGGATGAATAGGAGAGTTCGCCATAACTCGAGCCTTCTAGGGAATATTCGCGGCTTGGAATGGGGACAGAAAGGATGTTTGAGAAGCCGCGCCTCGGGACGTTTTCTCGTTTCTTGGCACCTTCGATTGACAATTCTCAGGCCTGCTACGAGGTTCCAACTATTTGCTCTCTCTTTCCTCCTTCCTTTTCCTTTAAAATCGTCTCTTTTTTTCGCCTCTCCTCTCTCTCTCTCTCTCTTCGTCTCCGGTGTACACATGTGGACGCGTTGTCGGCACACGCACAAGCGTGCACAACACCGAGATGTACCGAGAACGCAAGTTAACTATTACGGGGCCTCCTCGCGCTTTTATAGCCCATCTGGGTGGCGTGGCATACCACCGCCATCTTGTTAGCCACGATTAAATATTGATGCAAGAACGGAGAATCCAGAGTGAGAATGTGTTCGCGGAATCGGATCGCGGGAATCTGGGACGTGGTGAGCAATTTCCAATTACGCTAGGCCCGTTCCCTCCTTCTTTCCTCTCCTCGATGAATCACGAGATCGAAACGGGCGCCGATACTTTCGACGATAATATAATTTTATTATTATTTCGAGGGGATTGGATGGAGCGAGCGAGAGAAAAAGGAAGAGGGGGGGGGAAGAGAGGGAAAGAGGGAAGGAAAAAACGGCGAGAGCGTGCATGGAACGCAACCGGCCATTAAAAAATAATGCAAATTATCCGACTCCATTATATATCCTTTGGCCGATTTCGTTCCTCCGTTTCTTAGAACCCGATCGATTTCTTCGACCGCCGCACGCTCCTTTTGTCCCGAGATCCTCTTCTTCTTCTTCTTCTTCTTTCTCGGGAATCTACGAAATCTCGGCCGGCTGTCGAACGATGATCGAAGGAATCGAGGAGGAGGAGGAGGATCTCTGGTCTAGCTGAGGGATGATGCGACGAACGCAATTCAACGGCTCCTCTCCGCCAATTTGCCGGTGCGTGTCCATTATTGTGCAAATCGGCGAGCAGCAGATTGCGGTTGACAATGGGGGGGATCGTGGTTCAAGTCGTTCGTGGCCCCTACGGGGTGGCGAGCCACCCCATCGTTAGCGTGCCGAATCAACCGGAAATTCCAGCTTTCGTCGCTTCCGTATTCACTCGCCGGGAAGAAAGGACAAGACGCGCGTGCGGCGGAAGGGGAGGTGTCGAAGGAATTAGCTCCGAGGTGAGATAATGCTCGTCCGCGTATATAACCGTTCTCATTCGATTCTCCTGAAAATATTCGTTTATTATCGGGTGAAAAAGAAGGGGGAGAGAGAGAGAGAGAGACCTCTGTTGAGGACTGCTCTCCCTGTTTCCAGATAATTAGAGATCGACGGGTGTCGAAGACGCCACCTGGTCCATGCTAATTCCTTCGCGTCCCCCCCAACTCCTTCGGCTAATCCCGTACCGTTGAACGAGATTTGAAAAGTGGAAGGAACGACTCGAACCCCGTTCTTTCGAGTGGGGTTCAAAATTTTTGAAAACAAAATTATTACGATTTATTATTGGTAAAATGGTTTGTTAAAGGGCCGAGATTAATTTGTCGAAATTTGCAAGAAACAAATGTTATTAATATAACGACTGAACGGGTGAAAGGAGAGGCGTTTGTCAATCATCGAGAAGAGTCAATCCTCGAGAAACTTTGAATGACGCCATTACGATCGGTTGCATTTAGTAGTAAACCGCGACACTTATATATATATATATATATATATATATTATAGGCGCTTAATATCGTTAAAGCATTCTTTTTACGAGGCATGCACGATTAAGAAAGGCAAATATTAATCCGTGCCCGTACCGGGCGTGTAACGCGAAGAGAAAAGGCCAGGCAAAGGGAGGCCAGGCGGAGGCGGTTGCTCGGAAGACGGAGAAAGATTACCCCAAAACGAGACAACCGTGAGTAGATCGCTTTTAGGATCATTAATTATCCTAGGAAGCGCGAGGAACGAGCAGGATACCGTGCACCGCGACCAGCAGGGACGAAAGGGATGCCGAAGATGACGACGAGGGAACGGAGGGGAGAGGGAAGGGAGACGGCGAATGTCGCCACTGCAAACCGAAATTACCGTCAAAGATTAATGATCGGGGGCTTTATTACAGGTATTTATAGTCGTGTTCTAAAATCCAAAGCGCGGTTAACATTTCGGTTAATAAGACCGATACCGTGAGATGTTCGAATTTAAAAAAAAAAAAAATTCGTCGCTCTGACGACTTGGTAATCTCGATTGAAACGAGATCCCATCTATCGATATTCTTGTTAGGAAAAATATATTGAATCTAATATTGTATTTGTAATGTTAAAGGATGCATAGAATGCTAGGGAATATTTTATATACCAAATAGGGAAATATGTCGTTCGAAAGGTATAGACACTTTCTGAATAGATTCTCGAAGAGGTTATAACTCTTTGTTTTGGAAATTTTTCGAAATAAAGAAAAAGACGTCAGGGCGATAAAGCGTGAAGAACGAGAATATTTCGTCAATTTTTTAACTAGTATCGATACAGCTCGCATTAATTAAGTTTAACCAGTTGCGATTGCTTTTACGCGAGGCGAAAAGAAGTCTAATAAAGAAGGGAAGAAAAAAAAGAAAGGAAGGAAAGAGAGACAACGCGTATACGTACATGCGTATAGGGAACATTCGTTCCTTAAATAAATCGCTTCGAGTGACGGATTGGGGAAGAAGATTAACGAGCGTCGGTGTGTCGTTCGATTCGATACGTCGAATTAACGCGGGACAGCAACGAAGTTCTCTCGGTATCGGTTATTAATGACTCGAGCCTCTGCCAATGTAAACCTTGCCGAGCGTTTTGCATTCGTGACTGAGAAAAGCTTAGATTAATCGCGACTGATAAATGCTCGCGATACCTGGCGATGGATTGTATTATAAGTGCATGAATTGTGCTTAATTATCCCCGATCGCTTAACAAGCATAAATGTTGTTGGAAGCATTACTCTCTTTCTACGCGATTTCGTATTATTAATGTTCATCGCCAAAATGTTTCTTTCTTCGGTCGATTGTTAAAAATAGGAATAAGATATTATCGCTTTTGTCGATAATTAAAAATTCGAAAACTGTGAAAATGATTAAGAAGAAGAAAATAAGATAGGAAATAAAATATTGATCGTTGAATATCTTGGAATAATATTACGTATTAAAAATCGTTAATCTTATTGTTGGTAGATCGGAAGAAAGATTATTTGGACGTTCATCGAACGCCTATAAGTATGCTTATACATAGATATGCAACCAGCTATGCCACACCCTTACACGATTCGGTGGTTGCGATCCTCCTTCGCTGGCTGTGCAAATATTTACTATGATTATCCGCGCAAATCAACAATACACAAATACTTAACATGGAATTACGGATGGAAAACGGTTAGCAGCATTGTATCTTCGATAACATTTTTTTATTTATTCAGACATAATTACGGTTTACGTAAAATTTCATTGATAAAATCTTTGTTTCATTTTTAAATATATAGATTATGACAAATAATGTTCGAAAGAACTAATAAAAAGTTATTTAAAAATACAAAGTAACGCGATATAAAACAACAATCTATAAGAATTTACAACCAATTATTAACGGATGATAATAGCTAGAGGTACAAAAATAAATATTTTTGTTACCTTAGTTTCACTATTGCTGCCATCTAGTAGAATATATTCATATTCATATTCGACGGTTGTAATTATTTTAAATTAAAAAATATATTTAAAAAAACGTTACTATATCGTATATGATGTAATAAATCGTTCATATCATATGTTTATATAAATATTATCGCAAATGGACAAGATAGTATTATCATCCGATCAAATTTTTTTTTATTACAAACTCTGAAAATCTTTTATCATTTCATTGTCATTATCAATATTATCGATTTATTTAATTTCAAACCCTTTATTCCTTTCCAAGATAATAAGATAATTAAATAAATAAAAAGATTCAATAATAAAATTTAATATTGCATTTAATAGTGTAAAAAATTATAGATTATAGACATTGAAGTACCATCTAGCGGTGAATTAATAGAACTATTATATAGATAGAAGAAATAAAATAAAAAAATATGAATTTCTTAATTATTGAGTTAAAATTTTTAACTTTTAATAACTTACATTAAAATACTTATATTTTAGAATATAATTTGATATAAATTTTATCCGAATATTTTCAAATTTCAATGACACATAGAAAATGATACGATATTAACCATAATATGATAAAATAAACTATGACAATACCAACATGACACAATACGTACGCGTATGCGTACGCGTATGCGCATGCGCACTAACGGTAGTGAGAATGTAACGAATCTTATGCAAAGAATGAGAGAGACAAAAGACGACGATGCTCGGAAGGGGGTGTAAACTTAACAGAACTGTCGGGATATTCTCACAAACAAGTGCTATTAAAGTAATTTGACCTTTGAAATTACTGGATAACTCGGTTATTTTCCTATAATAACCTTTACGTATTCAGGATGTCCACTAGAAATAACGATATAAGAAGAACCGTCCGACACGTAACCTGCTCTTGAGGTAGATTTAATCTAATATTGAATATACAATTGTAATCATTACATATTTTTTCTCGTACGCTTAAATTTTAAATAAATCTTAATTTATATTTTGATCATTCAAAAATAATCTCCTATATATAATTTTGAATAATCGAATAATATTAAAATTTGGATAATCGTGGATAATTTTATTCTTTTTTTTCTTTGTCTATTTTTATAGATACTGGTATTTCGAACATAAGCAACGATAAACATTAGATACAATCGACAACAATAAAAAAAATGTCGTGTACGAGCGAGCTTTCTCGATCACAGGAATATCTCAGCTTTCGTAGTTCCGTCCCGCTTAGAAAAATCGTCGTTGATGCCGATGGTACTAAGGTAATTGTTAAGCTTAATTTTATATCGAATTTTTAAAGATTTTATTCAACAAGATTAACAAGATTAGTTTAAAATTGATATCCATCCGATGACCTCACGATTAGAACTAAACAAATCTTATATCCGAAGATATAATCGAATCCATGATCGAAAGTCAATAAGTATTGAATGTTTTTTTGTTGAATAATAATATTTATTTTATATATTATATTGTGTTCGATTTCTGCTTTAAAATCGAAATATTGCTATCAATATTATCGTTAATCGCACAAATTAAACGGAACGTGGATTTCTTTTTATCTTTATTTGAAATGTTTAACGGTTTTATATCGAAACTGTTTTTATATTATAGATAAAAATAATAATCTTTTAGGGATGGAAAGTATACGATTCTAGTCCAAAAACCATTAAATGTCCACTTATATGTCTTCCGCCGGTTAGTGGGACAGCCGATATTTTTTTTAAACAAGTACTGGGCTTAGCAGCAAAAGGATACAGAATCATATCAGTAAGTTTTACAAACATTTATAAATACGTATAAATTTTATGTTAATGAAATGATTGATGTAAAATAATATTTCAGGCTGAACCGCCCGTGTATTGGAACGTTAAAGAATGGTGCGATGGATTTAAAAAACTTTTGGATTATATGGAATTGGATAAGGTGCATCTTTTCGGCGCTTCATTAGGTTAGAACGTACGAACCTGAAATTTCATACCCGATATGACAAGAGATGTATCTTCGATGTTTCAATTGAAATATTTATTTTCAGGTGGATTTCTGGCGCAAAAATTTACCGAAGTGAATGCTCATTGTCCTAGAGTAGTATCGTTGGTTTTATGTAACTCGTTCACGGACACGTCGGTGTTCAGTTACAATGATTCCGCGACAATGTAAGTATATATATTATGTTATTTCTATTATTAGTACGTATAATTATACGTTCTTTTTTTTTAACGACTATAAAGTCAAATGAATTCACCGTATTTCATTTTGTTTGATTCTCACTTGTTTCAAGATAAGTACAAGAGAATGCGATATGTTATCTCGAATATTTTTGCGTAATATAACAATTGCTAATCAATTCAAATTGTAGCTTTTGGATTTTGCCATCATTGGTATTAAAAAAGATGTTAATGGGAAATTTTGTAACGGATAAAATGGACGGAGAGATTGTTGAGGCGATTGATTTTATGGTAGAAAGAGTATGTATCTCCGTGAATGTTTTTTCTTTGTCATTTATTATTCTTAAAAATCATTACATGAATATTATGCATCTGTTCGCAGTTGGAAAGTTTGACGCAACCGGAGTTAGCGTCTCGATTAACGATGAATTGTGTCAATTGTTACGTACAACCGCAAAAAGTGTGTCACTTACCTATTACCATTATAGATGTTTTTGACGAGTACGCGTTATCGAACTCGGTGAGAGAAGAAGTGTATAAATGTTATCCAAATGCTAAATTGGCACATTTAAAAAGTGGCGGAAATTTTCCATATTTAAGTCGAGCGGCAGAAGTAAATTTACACTTACAGGTAATTATTACTTACTTTGAATTAAACTTATGGTATCAACGCAATTGATGATACTTATATTATTAAGTGAAAGTAAAATATATTTACAGATACACTTAAGGCAGTTTGAAGGTACTGAATATGCTGCTTCTGAAAGAAAAAAATTATAGCGTCATTGGTATGGAATTGAAACAGAATGATTTATAATTATCATTCCAATAATGCATTTTACATGTAATGATATTACACATGATTCTCTATTTATTCTCTAATCAGCAATCTGTCTGATTTAAAATTGTCAATAACGCATACTAAGATGTATGATTGTTATAACAATATTGAAACGGTTTTAAATATATTCGCCATATCAAATATGCCTAAGTAATTTATGTATATACATATTAGTATTGTAAAACACTTATGCTATTTTTATCGTGATATTTGAAAATATTTCTTATCGTGTATTTTCTTAGGCGAATATTTATTAATCGTAAGTTTCGAAAATGAATTCGAAATATAAAATAATTCCTATATTGTTTTCGATCAAACAATAGCATATTCTATAAAATATTAATATATAATAATAATTTTTATGAAAAAGAAACAAAATTGAAAAAAAAAATATTTGTTATAGATAAAAAAAACTCAATCAAATATGCAACTAAATGTAAGTTAGTTAAGAAGAAACAAATTGAAAATATATACATATTAAAATTAAGGCATACATCGCGATTAAATAAATATATATTTAATTCCCAATTGTATACCTAAGCTCGTTCGAAATAAACATATAATTTTGTAAAAAAAAAATGGTCTAGAAACATTAAGAAACAATCGTGAAAGATATGAACTTGATACGTTTCATTCAATAAAATATTAACTGAATTAAGATGATTTGCTTCGAGATGGTTTGCTCTGTCGGTGAATGAACTTCGAAGACGGTATACTCTCCAAGATAGTCTAACAGAGAGACCGTACAAGAACTTGTTCGGTATCGATTTCTCAACATGCGCTCTCTCTCCCGTTTCTTTTAAACGAGATTGGATTACACAGAGTCTCTCTTGTCTATCTATGGGACACCTTACATTCACCTATATACGCATTAATTACACACTATACACCGCAAAATTCTGAGCAACTTGCCAACTTTCGAACACGAAACTTTTTTGTACATATGTATTGTACATATGATATATCAAAAATTTCCTATTAATAATAAGTTTGTCTCGAACTATATTATTTACATACGGTTGTAGAAAATACTTTTTTTTAAGTTATAAAATAATCGTTTTTTATTTTACACAATATTTCCAGATATCGTTCTTCAGATACTTTAGCCTCAAGAAATATTTTTCGCCGATTCTTATATTAATTCCTTTTTACAATATTAAGATATCGTTTATCTGCAAAGTTTTCTGGATCTTATTTGAAACTGATTGTTTCGGAAGTTCGAGTTTCCAGTAAGTTTGCCAATTTTAATCTCACGAATAAAGGATTTTTACGATCGATAAGATTACGATTATCAAAGAGCAATATCAAATAATCGATTTAACGATAATGTTTGATGCCGTAAAGCGGGAAACAAGGGACATTTGAAAGTTCAGTCGTTCGAGTGGTCACGTCGCGGATAGTCGACGCGTGTTTCGCTCACGGCCGCGAACGGAATGCGTACAGCCGACGATTATCGATGCACGCATCGAAAATTAGTCCATTCCGTTTCGTGTCGCCCGTAACGATACGACACGTGAATTTCTTGTAAACATCGCACTTTTGACGTACGTCGAGACGTGATCCTATCGAGATTCCCTCGAATTCTTCTCGGCTGCAAGTGAATCGTGATTGCAAGAGTTTCGTCGCACGTTCCGACGCGGTTAAAAGACGATCGATAGCTGAATAGAAAAAGCGGAAGAGCGAATAATCGCGAAAAACAAATACCCGGGTACCTGATCTCATCCGGTAGGCGTGTGGAATTCGATACCACCGGCGTGTAATCGTGAAACGTTTTGTGAATATTGAAAGCACAGTTTGCCGACGATTCCTGGACTGTAGATAACGTATCCTAGTTTCTTGCGGTCGATCGATCGGCTAACAAGCTTTCCGCGACGCGGATTTCTTCGACGTGAATAGCCTTAAGCGGAAATCGTGTCCAGAAACTGATTCGCGGGTGAAAGGAAGGCGAATTGCGAGGCGAATTTTCCTTGAAAATAGGGGTCTGGTGTGTCAACAAGTTTGTTACTCGGACGGATGTATGATTTCTTTTTGAGATATTACTGATATTTCCGGTGTTATCGCGATCTATCGCAACTAAGTAAACAGACGCTTCGATGAAAATACCAATAAATGAATGTAAGTTGTTGACTCGACGCGTAAAAAAGTTTCTCTAAAAAGGAGGATACTTGCTAAAATTTTGAAACGTTTACAATACTTTCGAGATTTACGTGATCGGTTTTACATAACGGTCTTCTCACAAACAAAAAAAAATATATTGTACTCGTAATTAATTGAAAGTTAATTAGAGAAGAATAGAACGTGTTTACACGTGCTTCACGCGTCTTCGAAACTCGCACAATAATTAACGTGACGTCAATAATAGTATTTCTACGATTACAATTAACAACAAATTATCATATTTCGTATTATTCGATAAAAATGTGAATACAGCGGGGTAACGTATATCATACGCTTATTCACAATTTACATTAATTTTCGATTTGTATGCTTTAATAATTTTTTTTAATTATAATAATGATTAACGTAGTTAAAAATTTTATATCTGCGATATGAAAATACTTTGTGGAAAATGTTTGAATAAATACGATTTTATTTACAGAAAGAAACGCTAAAAAATGGACAATTCTTTGAATGATCGCAACGAATTCACTTGAAACGGATCGAAAATTTTGTTTTCGAGAAACAATCGTATTTCGAAAATTTGAATCGATTCTTCGAAAATGGAAAACGCGGAGGAACAATCTCCTTTATTGGAGAGGAAAATAAGCACGTCGACGAAAATCGCTTATGCCTTGGGACATATTTTCAATGACCTCGCTGCAGCCATGTGGTTCTCCTACACCCTGATTTATTTTCAAAGGGTGGCCTTGTTGGAGCCGATCGTTGCTGGTGCTCTTCTACTTTTGGGTAAAAAAGAAAAAAAAAAACTGAAAGAGAAAATCAAATTTTCCTTAAATTAAGAAAATCGTCAGATGGTAGAAAGAAAAAAAATTGAAAAAAAATTTGGAAATATCTAAAGCGTTCCTTTGTCCTTTAAGGTCAGATCATCGACGCCTTCATGACTCCTGTCTTCGGCGTATTGGTCGATCGATACCTGAAGAAAAAGATCTGGCATATTATCGGATCTGTGATGGTCACGCTATCGTTCCCAGTGATCTTTGGTGGGTTTAACAAATCGTCACACGTAAGTATCATGCTTCTTTACGTGGCCAGCATCGCCGTATTTCAAACCGGATGGGCAGCTGTGCAGATATCGCATTTGTCCATGATCCCTGCGTTAACGAATTCGTTGCTGGCACGGGCAGACTTAACTGCGATAAGGTGATTTTCAAGGTTTTAATTTTCACCGTCCCTTTTCTTCTTATATCTATTATATTTTGATCCACCATTATAAAATGATGTCTTATGGAACACAGGTATTCCGCCCAAGTTGGATCAGCCGTTGCAGTATTCATCGTTACGTGGATAGTTCTACCCACGGATGAAGAGGCAATGGGACGATTGGTCGAGGAGGACAGTTATAAATTTAGAGTATGCCATTGAAATCTAACAACTGTCCGTTCCATAGTGTACATTGAATGGAAATGGACGTCGTAAAAGAAAAAAAAAAAAAACATTCTTAAATGCTTAAATTTTATTACGAGAGAAATCCCTAATGGATGCTTAATGAAAATTTCTCGTTGCAGAATATCGTTTTGACTTTAACGTCCATTGGTTTGATGGCCACCATACTCTTCCACGTGTTTCTAAAAGAAAATTTATTAGAGGATTACGAATCGCACAAAGGGAATATCGAAGAGGCTAAAAGATTGTTCGATAGCTCTCAAAGTGGTCGAACCTCTTTGGTCGGCACGACAATTTTACTTAGAGTGGCTATGTTGTACGTAGCCAGCAGACTTTTCATTACGTTGGCCACGGTGTATTTGCCGTTGTACATAGAAGAAACGGATATCGATGGAAAAGAGGCCCTCGCCACTGTTCCATTGGTCTCCTACGTATCTTCCTTTGTTGCCGCTTTGTTACTAAAGTACATAAACAAATCGTGCGGAACAAAGGTGTGTATATGAAATAAAAGTGCATTTGTGGTTGATAGAAGTGTCGAGTGTACCATCGTCACGTGAAATGTTATTTATTTATCGTTCCTCATCAGGTATGTTACTTTTTGGGCACGTTAATTGGCGTAATTTCTGCTGCGGTCACGGAATACGGAGGGACTTCGAAGACAATTTTATACATCGTGGCGATTTTAATCGGAAGTGCAAGCTCGATCACAATGGTCACAGCGTTGAGCGTGACGGCGGAGATAATTGGTCCGCGAACAGAGCGAAGCGCCATCGTTATTCGATCGTAACATTTTTTGACAAAGTTGTTACGGGACTCGTTGTCATCTTTATCGAGAAATTGTGAGAAAATTGATACTTCTCGAATATTTATTAAGTATTGTTAAAAGATGGAAGATAAGAGTATTTTTTTTTTTTTCAGGAGATGCACGCAACCAACGTACTGTCCAAATTATAACAGAGATACTTTGGCCCTTGTGTGCGTTCTTTCCATGCTTCTCGGACTTGTCACACTATTTTCAGTTTCGCGATGTTTAAATTAAGAATAAGTACAAGAATTTTTCTATAACAAGAAAAAAAAAAAAAAGAAAAAGAATCATTGAATGCACCTTTACATCCTCGTATATATTTCATCTTGTAACCAAGGATCATTTCATACTTTCGTACTTTTCCATTTTTACACGAAGAATATTTACATACGAGTAAACTTTTACAATAAAATAATAATTATTAAACAATTTTTTCCAAATATTAAATCCAATTATCACGAGTTTGGAATTATATTTTCCCGCCAATTGTGCGTTGTTGCGATAACATATATATATGTGTGTAAAGGAGAAATCGTTTTTATCGACGCGATTGAAATTTTTGCAGATAGATGTCGTTGTAGGGTTGCGGTATACCCTTGGAAATTTCCAACAAACGGCGTGGTGGCAGCGCTAAAGGTACGATGACCTGCTCGATTTACACGTTACGTGGCGCATCGTGGTTGCGTTGTAGAACGTAAGACGAGATCCGTTGAATTCTACTTGGCCGTTATGTCTCGTCGGAGCATATAGCACTTATCGTATGGACCTAACGATAGATACGAGCAAGATTCGAGAAAAGGGAGGGGAACACAGACGAGCGAGTCAATCTCGAAAAGAAAGACAGAGAGGTTGAGGAAAACGAGAACGGAATAAGGAGGGAGGAAGAAGGAATGAACGTGAACGCGCGCGCGCGCGCACGAGTTTGCTCAGGCCGTTAGAGAGGAAAGGATAGGAGAAGGAAGAGGGAGCGAGAAAGGAAGAGGAAGAGAGAGGGAGAAAAGCAGGCGAACGAAGGCGCTTTGGTGGACCACGAGGCAACGACAAACGGCGCATACATCGCCTCGTGCGAACATGGCCCGGAAGGTGCGCGTGAGGCTACTGCGCAGAGTCTTGTTTTGCTCGGCGGGACGAGGGGAATACGGAGGCGGACGCATGTTCACGGGGCATGGCGTGGTGCGCGTTCTAGTAAACAACTTGTGTGCGACTCATGCGGGGAATCTGCGTCCCGAGTAATCGTGATTTTTCTGTCGAACAAGCGCGATACGTCGGTTCAGAATGAATTGTACCGTACACGGATAAATCATTTGCCTTGTGTCTCGAGAACACGGCCTCATACGTGGAATTATTAGTGCGGTTTAACCAAGTTTGTCGGTTTCTCTCTTTGAGAACTCGACCGCGGACCACCGCGTGTGTTCCTCTCTACGCGTATGTGTTTACGTGTGTAGTGACTGATACGCGTGTTTACATAGAACAAGTGTCGCCGGTGTTGACCGATTTCCAGTGTCATCAATCGACTTTCGATCGGCTTCGAGTTTCGACGTTTCGTCGGAGTCATTCGTCTTCGTTTTCCTCCGTTCCACGTTGACACGGTAGGTTCAATCTCGTGGAATTCGTTTGATAGAATAGCCACCGAATTCGATCTCGGCCACGGCGTCGTATCCATCGAACACCGTGCCCGTGATGTATTTTCGGAGTAGCGCCATGCTTGGCCACGACTATGCTCTACGAACCGCGAAATCGAAAGACGCGTGTTCGAGTTCACGATATCGGCGTCTCACCGATCGAATTTTCGCTGGATATTTATCCGTTTCCCTTGTACAAATACGCGCCAATATTGCAAGACAATCGATTCGAGCATTCACTTTGAACGCCGCTTTCGATTCTCATTGATCGTCTGTTTAGCCGCTGTCAGTACCCTAGTCGGTCAGGCTCGCGCGCGCGTTTCTCTTTCACGTATTCGAATGCTTGGTAAACGGTCGTATGGAAAACGAAGGCGTAGAACGAAGGCGTAAAGGAAGTGCGCGATCGTTTACCTCTGACGTATGACATACGATCGATTATGGATATATCACGCGTCTCAAGTTTCCTCTAGACCGGATAAAGATCGATTCGGCGAAGTGGATTGTCGTAACGGATGGTTTCGCGGAGAACGCGTTAAGCCGATATCAATGGTCTCGCAGCTACTGCTACGACATGTGAAAATCGTATACGTAGTAGTTGGAGCGTGTTGCGTTCCCTCGTGGGGTGAGTAGGGGAATCGGGGTGTAAAAATGGAAGTTGGAAGAGGGACGGAGAGAAAGAGATAGAGACGCGTTAGAGAAATAGGTTGGGGAAAAAGACAAGGAAGGAAATAAAACAGTGGCGTGCGAATTGGTCGAAGAAATCGGGAGCGGTGGAGCACGCGATCGATGTCTGTGTCGATCGCCGTAGCCAGTTCCTCGGTAAAAGGTCCTCGGAACGTCAATAGGCAGAGCGGCGCAGCTATATCGCATTCCACGTTATTTCTCTCTTTAGTCACTGACCTCGCGACTGTTCGGCCAACCTCGTTTCGTCGCCACTCTCGCCTCCTTGTTTACCACTCTCGACCGATTCCGAGTCGACCTCCGCTCCGAAGCTTCCTCTCGGCTTCTGTCTGTCTCTCGTTCTGCTCCTATTTCTCTCGTAAACCGAACTTTTTAAGGACTTGGCTCCGACTACGGACGATCTACAGAGGTGACGAAATAAATATATCGAGGATAAATATATATTCACAAAATTAATCGTGTAATATTTTTTTTTTTTTTTCAATATATTTGTTGTAAATCGGTGCAATTGTGATTAATGAGGTTTTTAGAACGCATGTCTAGTTTGCGCCAGCTGTTTGTTGCACGCTCGTAAAACTGATTTAGATTCTCCTCTACAAAATGTAGCAAGTTTAGCAAATAGGAAATGAAAAGCCAGTGTACGTGTATATAAATTTGATAGCTCGTTGATAGCTCGAAGTGAGAATATTAACAAAGTCGGTCTTCTCGTTTTCACCGTAATTTATTAAGAGGATAAAGTAATCATTGACGCGATCTAAACGATTCTCGTAATTCGTTCATCGATCAACAAATATTTTCCAATATTGATCAAACGTGTACCGTTTTTTTTCTTCTTTTTTTTTTTTTTTTCTTTTTTTCTTCACGAAAAACAATTTACTTCCTAAGGATCGAATCCGAGAATTCGATCGACTCGATGACAAAGAACGACGGAATATCCTTTTACGCACGATCGAAGAAACGCCCTGAAAAACCAACTTGGTCCGAAAGCGACGAAGACGACTATGTTTACATCTGGACGACCTTGGATGTACACAGGGTGATTGTAATCGAATAAACAGGCTTCTCGATACATGCCACGAACGCGGGAAAATATTCCCGCACTGTTGGACGATTAGCACGATTCTACAGTCGGTTCACGAGACAGTTGGTTGTGACATTTAAGGAAAGGGTCAGACACGTGGCGCGCGTTTTTCGAAACTATTCTCCGGGCGTGTGTTCGTGCGTTCCCCCTCGATCCCGATGAATTAAACGAACCGTAAAGTATAAACGCACGAATTTTCGGCCTCTTTACCGCGACAACAAAATAGTCCGTGCTCGGTAAGTAAAATTTGTATCGTCGTCAACGGCTCGATCGGTTGCGTAACGTGTGTTCACGTATCACGAGTTGTATTCGCGTACGCGTCGCAAACAAAATTTTTATTGCGTTAGTCGCTACCACCTCGTTCTTAACATTCTGCGCCGCAATCTCGCCTCCGACTCCATTTTCCCGGGCTTGCGTAAGAAAACGCAAACCCGACACGGGCTCCGCTCCATCTTACGTCGTAAATAACGATCCTCCGATGCCTCTGATTGCTTCGTCACCGCGAAAGCGTCACAACGTGCTCGTCAACGACGTTCTATTCACGTTCTATTCCCGCTTTTTTTTTTTTTTTTCTTTTTTTCTTCACGAAAAACAATTTACTTCCTAAGGATCGAATCCGAGAATTCGATCGACTCGATGACAAAGAACGACGGAATATCCTTTTACGCACGATCGAAGAAACGCCCTGAAAAACCAACTTGGTCCGAAAGCGACGAAGACGACTATGTTTACATCTGGACGACCTTGGATGTACACAGGGTGATTGTAATCGAATAAACAGGCTTCTCGATACATGCCACGAACGCGGGAAAATATTCCCGCACTGTTGGACGATTAGCACGATTCTACAGTCGGTTCACGAGACAGTTGGTTGTGACATTTAAGGAAAGGGTCAGACACGTGGCGCGCGTTTTTCGAAACTATTCTCCGGGCGTGTGTTCGTGCGTTCCCCCTCGATCCCGATGAATTAAACGAACCGTAAAGTATAAACGCACGAATTTTCGGCCTCTTTACCGCGACAACAAAATAGTCCGTGCTCGGTAAGTAAAATTTGTATCGTCGTCAACGGCTCGATCGGTTGCGTAACGTGTGTTCACGTATCACGAGTTGTATTCGCGTACGCGTCGCAAACAAAATTTTTATTGCGTTAGTCGCTACCACCTCGTTCTTAACATTCTGCGCCGCAATCTCGCCTCCGACTCCATTTTCCCGGGCTTGCGTAAGAAAACGCAAACCCGACACGGGCTCCGCTCCATCTTACGTCGTAAATAACGATCCTCCGATGCCTCTGATTGCTTCGTCACCGCGAAAGCGTCACAACGTGCTCGTCAACGACGTTCTATTCACGTTCTATTCCCGCTATAATCGTCCCTCCTACCTACCTATTCCGTTTTCGGTTTCCGCGATCGGCACAGACGCACGTAAATATCTTATCGCGAGCACGCGCCTTTCCTCGAATCTAGCTTCGTCACTATTTTGTTACTATGTGTCGTACCTAGCGCCGGCGTCACGCGCGTGTATACGTGAAATATAGTATCGACATAACGATCAACGAGTTTAACGATATTCTTAAAACGACTGGGCTTAAATAAATTTTAAATTCACTATCGTTCGAGTATCGTTCAAATTTTTCGTATTTTTCGATTTTGATTGAATCGATCGTATTGCATGGTGTTTCGATCGCGAAAATTTTTTTTAAAAGCCGATCAATTTTCGCTTTTTCGCCGAAGCCATCCGCTGATTTTTTACACGCGCTTATGTACATTCGCGTTGGAAGATATATAATGGCTGTGGCAACTGTCGACATTCGTTGCGCAAGGAGTTCACATGGATAAAGATCGCCTTTTGTGACCAGTGTTTTCTCCTTGCTTGCGAACTTAACGCGTTTGTATATCCCTATCCTCGCTTTTAGATCGCGTAGATTAATTATGCGCTTTGTTTCCCATTGTTTGTTTACATTTCCTTAGAGATCGTCGATTATAATTGGCGAGTTAGTTACCGGTCAACGATCGGTAAGAAGAAGAAGAAGAAGAAGAAGAAGAAAA